TCTGCATTGACTATAGACAAATTATATAGCCTAAATGTCAAACTACAAATAGCAGCTTGAAAAATACACATCATATATGCATCACAATATTGGTCCTTGCTTTATTAATTAGGTCCTGTCTTTTGTACAACTCAAGCTTCAGATGCCTACATCCAACTGCCTATTTAGCTGCTTTACCTGGATGCCTAACATATCAAACTTAACAAATCTAAAAAAAAAAAAAAAATTAATCCCTTGAATCTCAGGTTTTTTTAAATCTCAGCAAATAGTTTATAATTTACCTAGATGTTTGAACCAAAAACCTGGGACTTATCCTTGATTCTACCCATTCCTTCACTTCCTATCCTTGATCTAACAAGTCTTATTGGCCTTCCTTCAAAATAGATCCCAAAGTGGCATGATTTTTTTTTTTCTCAGTGTTTTCTTCATCTTTTTACAACTACTCTGATGAGAATAAAATCCAAGTTTCTCCTCCAAGATTACCAAGATTCAAGCCCTACAAGATCTACTCAATGGATAGCCCAGCAAACCCTCCTTCTCTTCAAACATTCAGGTGGTATTTTCAGTTTCTTCTGTCATGACTGCAACCTCCCAACTTCTCTGTGCTGGATCTCACTTGTCACATCAGGTCCTCAGCTCACAGGTTACTATTTCTGTGAAGTCTTCCCTGACTACCCAATCTAATTAGCAATGTTTTACTCCCACCGCCCATCATTCTCCATCATTGCATCCTGTTTTGTTTCTTCATAACACTTGTCATTGCCTGTAATTACTTTCCTTCTGTGTTTGCTGGGTTTATTTTCTCTCCCCCTCATCAAAGAGAGTATATAAGTTCTATGAGAGAAGCAGTCTGATTTGTCCTGTGGGTCCATGTATATATAATCCTACAATATTACTTAAATGAATGGATGAATTAATGAGCAAATGAACAAGTTACATATATAGTCCTATCCCTAGATATGGCTAACTGTTGACTGTGTTAGATAGAATTATTTATATAAGACAAACTCTGCAACAGGACTCCCCCAGAGGATCACTGATGTGTAGAGTTCCAACATATTCTTCACCAGTTAATATTAAAGACATCATTAATATTAAGAAAATATAGAACTAGACCCAATTAGATTGTATGAAGTTGCTTCAGTAATATAGAAAACTTGGAATATTAAAAGTGGGGGAGAGCTGCTTTCCTAGGCTCAGGGGAAGAGAAGAACAACCTCATCTCACCATGACTAAGAGGAGTCAGTCTCTTTCTGAAGGTAATGCTGCTGCCAGCATTTTTAAAGCGGTACATCCAATGTTTATGCCAAAGGAACTTTTGCAACTGGAGTTTTGAAAAAGAGAAGAAGTGGGGGATGGGGCGCATGTTTGAGAGACAGAAATGGATAAATGCTTCTGACCAGAGAAAGCCAATCCTAGGGAGTTTTTGCACCTCTACACATCAACATTCAACTTTCACTATGACTTCTGCCTGCAGGTAAATTTCCTTTGGAATATGCTACTTACCCTGAGATTGCCAACAAATCTGAATCTATTTAGAAAACACATGGTTTTGCTTTCTTTTAAATAACTGTCTGTGGGACTTCAAACTCTAGCTTATAAGGCATTCAATTGTAATTCTTTGAAGGCGAGGACCAGGACCATGTCATGTGTTTATTCTCTGGCTCTACCTGAATCCACTGATGCTGGTTGTGCAGTAGAAACTGCCCCTTCCTTTCAAGGGAAGGTCATTGAAAGGAATATTGAGCAGCAAAGATGCAAGATCTCCTTGAAGGAAAAAGATGTCATAACAGAATGACTTTCTCCTTTTCCTGATTTTTAATGCCAAGAACAGCTCATGCTCATTTTGTGTGAGGTCAACAAAGGAGATTAGGTAATATTATGCATCTCTGCCTTAAAAAATTATTAAGTTTTCCTTTGGGTAAAGCAATATTTATTTCCCTATTTCCTCCTCAGTTTGAATTCAGGTAAGTATTTGCAGATTATTTCATAAACATCATTTTTTTCTTCAAAGCGACTTAAAAATTAAAATTAAAAATTAATTTTTTTTTGAGATAGAGTCTCGCCCTGTCACCCAGGCTGAAGTACAGTGGCACAATCTCAGCTCACAAAACCTCTGCCTCATGGGCTTAATTAAGCATGCTGAGCATGCTTAAGCATACTTCCTCAGCCTGCTGAGTAGGTGGGATTACAGGTGCTCGACACCAGGTGGCTAATTTTTGTATTTTTAGTAGAGATTGTTTCCCCATGTTGTACTTTTGTATTTTACAAAAAATAATTTTGTATTTTTAGTAGAGATGGTTTCCCTGTATTGGCCAGGCTGGTCTCAAACTCCTGACCTCAAGTGATCTGCTCAAGTTAGCCTCCCAAAGTGCTGAGACTACAGGCATGAGCCATCATGCCCAGCCCTGAAAATTAAATTAATTAAAAAGCAATCAGGTATTCTGTTTTCAATTCTCAGTTCTCTTATATTCTCTGAAACTATAATATTTTCTCAAATTAGTATAATACAGATTCAGAGAGGTAAAAAGAATATTTTATTTCATTAAAATATTCAAAGGAAAACACTGAGAAAAGATGTGTAACCAATATGAAAAACTATTAATGCCTTTATTACATGAATAAAATGTATAAAGATTCAAATGGATAAGGTAAAACATTAGGTACCAAAGAAATAAATGAGTACGAGACATAAAAGAGGCATTTTAAAAAGGGAAATACAACTGGAAACTGTCCTGCCTTCCCGGTCATCTTAGCAGAGCACATTAATATTGGTTTTGTTTCTAGTCTATAAAATTATAAGCAAAATTAAATAATCAAATTTACTTTTTCTAATTGAAAACAACTGAGGTATCCTTTGTTCAAAGGAAGTCCTGTTGAGGAGCTCAGGAAATTGGGTTTAACTCATGATATTCGAAAGAGTGGGCCTTGGAGTGGCCTGCTTTTACTCTTACTCACCATGTTCCAGGGACTTATGAGGGGACTTAAAAGAGCTTCTAGTTTTCTAAGAAGCACAACTGGAAACCACTATTTCTAATAACACTCAGTACTGACAGACAGTGTGCAACAGACATATTCCTACAATGTACATGAGATTCTAAATCACTTCAACCACTTTGAACAGCAATTTAGAAATATTTTATAAAAATCACGAAAGCATCCATAGTGTTTGGCTATTTACATTCACTTCTGAAAACCTATATTAGCTCTATTGCATCAAGATAATAAATGCAGCATTATTTAAGTTGGTACATTTAAAAAATAAGCAAATGCATGTATTCAACCATTCAATAAATATTTACTGAACAATGACATTATACAAACTGATGTCATTATTAAAGAATGAGAGGACACAGGAGTGGTGGGGCACATGGCTTAGAAAACAGACGAGCTTCACTAGGTAGCATCTTGTGTTCTGTACTAAAGTCATAAAATCTCATCTGAAGGTGACCTTAATCTTACTGGAGAGCATTAATTCCCTAAGTTAACCTAATCCAAATATCATATTACCAAAAAGTATAGTGAAAACTAGAAGAGAAAATATGTAAGGTTGTGGCATTTTAATTGTTTTATTGGGATTCTTCAGGTTAAGACTACATTCCTTATATGAAGCAAGGTCTCCTTGAAGAGAAAAAAATTAAAACAAAGTAAAATATTTCTCTGGAACCCTCTGTCTTAGTCATGAATCTGTGGAATCTATAGTTATTTGAAGCACTCTAGACAAAAAATGAGGAAGGATGGCTTCTGCCACAAGGAGGTGGGTCAGAAGCTCTACATTAGGTTTCTCCTTGGTAAACTCCAAGCTCTAAATGAATCAAAGCATTTTGTACATCAGAGTATCCAAATTCACAATTTTGTCTGTGTCCATCTTCCCTGTGTAATTCCATATCTTTAAAAAGTCTTATTTAAATCCCTCCAACCTACTGTTAGCTATGCTCTAGGTAATTAATTGAAGAATTACATGTCCATATTTTAGCCAAAGAGAAGAAGAGAAGGCACGGCAGCAGACCATTCATGCCTTAAGCAGGTGTGATGATGGCAGAGGTGATAAGTGAGAGATCCTCTAGTCTAGGAAACGTGGGTCTGAAAGGCCAAGGTTCTGTTGCCCCACCCCACATAGGGCAATATCGACTCTATTGCCATTCTTGAAGGGGCTGATGTAGATTTGATTTTTAAAATAATCAGATAACTAAAGAGAAATAATTTGTAATCATAATATAATTAAAGAAATAAATTTGATTAAAGAAAATCACTTCTTTATAGTCTCAAGAATGCTTAGAAAATCATAAAGTTTAAGAGGAGGCATTTGTAGAGAGAAATGAAACTAGGAAAAAGGAAATAACTTCTAAGGGCAAAAAAAAAAAATGAACCAATAAAGATAAACTTCAGGCTATTTCAAGTGTCTCTGCTTATCTGTTTTTCAGATGGTGGCAGTTGATCAAAAGAAAGCGAAAATGACTTCTTTAGGTAAGGAGACAAGTGCAAATCAAAGCAATGTGCGTGTTTTTTTTTTTTTTTTTTTTTTTAATTTAAAGTAAAACAAATCAAAAAGATATCCTGGCTATAATCACTTATTCGAAAGAAAAAAATAGAAAAATAAGTTATAATCAGTGTCAGTGGTAAGTTTTTTTTTAAAGAACAGCATTTTAAGAGTATTTTAACCTTAGAATAACTGCTTTATGTAAATACAGCATGCATCCAATTTCATAATCTGATGCATGTTATGTTTGTGGAAATTATAATTAGTCTAAACACAAAGTCTTTGGGTCTGTCCTATCCTGCTACCGTACAAAGCATATTAGTACATTCTTGGATCGCTCTCTTTTTATTCTCTCTCATTTGTCTCAGTTTGTCTTGGGGATATTGCATGCATCTTTGTAAGTCAGATAAATTATATTCTGAAAGAAGGTAGAATATAAACGAATGAATGAAAATAACTTTTTATATCTCAATACTTATTCTTTCTGACATTTTTTTTTTCTGATAATGATTACGCCTACCTTAGGTTGTTTGCAAAGGTAGCGACAAAGTTCTCCAATGTACTGAAACACAGTCACATCATACTTCTTGCAGTCACTCCAAAACTGACTTGCTGAGAATTTCTTCTTTAACACACAAGTGGCACCTATAAGGAAAGACAAAAACAGGCACTAGGGAAAAACATTCAAGGGAAGAATGAACATAAAACATAAATGATGTTGCTCTGTCTAGAACCTGATTGCTTACTTTTATAACTTTAATAACTCATCATCAATAATTTACATCAAACTCATTTGGAAACACGGACTTTATTATCAGAAAACTCTGTTCAAAATATTGCAATACACAGGACAAAAGCAACAGTCAAAATTTACCACATATTGAGTGCTTTCCGTTTCTCTGGAACTGTGCTAAGTACTTTATTTTATGTAAGCCTCACAACGATTGTGGGGTTAGCAACCCTATCCCTATTTTACTGATGAAGAAACAAGCTCAGAGAGACTATGTGGCTTGCTTCAGGTCACCCACTTTAAAAAGTATGGAGTGGGGATTGGGTTCAGAGCTCTCTGACTCAATGCTCTTAAGCATCCTTTCATGTTGTTCATTGAGGGTTAGAGTATTAGGGCAAGACTATAGATAAGAGTCATCCTTCTTCATAGAAGCCAAGAATGTTCACTTACTTTTCAACTTGAATATATACATATGATTCATTTTTCAAACCTTAAAGCAGTCTCAACATATCTTGAGGTCAATTGTTAGTTAGGTTGACTTAACAAGATAGCACTAACAAAAAAGTTCATCAATGACTGCGGAACCTGATTTTGACCACAGTATACATCTACAGAAGATTTTAATGTCTTTACTCTCCTCTTTATTTATGATGGATACTGATCACATTCTAAATATTCTATTCTAAAAATTACAGCATTTTAGACATATACAAGTAGCACATGATCTCTACTGTTTGTATATTATTTTAGGCCTAGAAACTGACGCATTATCTTGCATGTTTTTATGAATGGAATCTACTGAGTCACAAGCCCTACCAACTAATTTACTGAGTGTCTATGGCAGATTGTTTGCAAAGATGGCCTCAGCAATTTCTTCAAGGCTCTTACTTTTGCTGTGTAAATTTGCTCCATCTCCTTTCAGGAGGTGGCTTCTATTTCTCTAGCCCTGGAATCTTTAATCTAGGCTGGCCTATGACTTGCTTTAATCAATGGGATGAAGGTGAAATAATCTATTCACTTTTAAGACTAGGCCTTAAGATTTCTGCAGCTTCCATACACCCTCCCTTGGAACATTTCTATCACCATTTGAGGAATATGGGGATAGGTTGTGTGAGGGTGAGTGACCACAAGGAGAGAGAAGCCCAGTCAATAGCCAGTTCCAACTACATGGACAAATCCTCAAAAAACTAGTCTTTTGACTTTAGGAAAACACTGAATATGCCATAAAATTGTGTGCTTTTTTAAAAAAATAAATATTTTATTATAATGAAATAATATGTATATAATCACTCTAAATTCTACTGATAAATTTTCAAATGTCAGTAAACACTTGTTCTAATTATTAGGCATTTTGTAAACTTATCAGAAAGAAAATAAAGGCTTACCCAACTCAACACATCCAGAAATTCCCAGGATAGCTCCTGAACTATGATACAGAGGAAGGGTTATATAAACAATGTCATCAGCAGTACAACCAAAAGCCCACAGGGCAGCAGAGCCCCTTAAAACCTGCAGCTGACTAATCACAGCTGCTTTTGGTAAACCTGGAAAAGAAGAAAAGAACAGGAAATACATATACACACACACACACCTGCATATACATATACATACATATTCATATAACTAGAAAGGAAGTAATAGAAAAGAAGACTATGCTGATAACAACTACCCTAGCAACTACACAAAATATATCAAAGTAATCTATCTGCTTTGTAAAAGAGGCCATGCTGACTTTAGCAACACTCCTTTCACAGGTTGCTAAGTAAGACTGGATCTTAAATGCTATGTAATTTCATAGTCGGCCTTTCTGGATAGGTCTAAGGTTCTAGAAATTAATACAGTGGTAGTGCACATTTGGTTTCAGTAGCTGTCTGATAGAGTATCTGGGAGGTAAGTTTTTCTGAGTCCTCATGTGTCTGAAAATGTCTTTTTTTCCCACCCATACACTTGAATGGCTGCTTGTACAGAATTCTAGATAAAAAGCTATTTTTATACAGGACTTTTAAAGCATTGCTCCATAGTCTTCTGACCTCCAGTATATATACTGGGGACTTGTCAGTCTTTCTGATTTCTTTTCCTTTGGATGAAACACAGTATTTCTATTTTTTCTATTTTTAGAATCTTCTATTAGTTTTCAGTAGTCTGTAATCTCATGACGACTTGTACTGGGACCAGTTTCATCTATCCTTTGCACTGGGAAAATTGTAGATCTTTTCAGTCTAAAAACTCAGGTCTTACAGTTCTAGATACTTTTGAATTTGAAAAAATGTAATTTTCACCCCCCCACTTCTCTTCCATTCTTTATTTCTGTTCTTTTTGCCCATTGCTTTTTTCTGTTACATTTATTTGTGTGTTCATCCTTTCATCTTTGGAATTCTTGATTTTTTGAAGATCAGCCCTCCTGGTCTGAATCACTAATTTCCTAATCTTTTCTATTCTGTTTTCCTTTTCTTACCTTTTGCTTTACTTTTTGAGAGATTTACTTTCCAACACTTGTGTTCTCTGAATATTCCTCTTTTGGTATTATGTTATTTTTACATTATTGACACTTTTTTGCCCCTATCTTCCAGAATATTAGCAATAATAATCTTTTGAAAATTTCTCCTTTCTATCTTGTCAGTTTTCTCCAACATCCTTTTAATCTTTGGTTTGTTTTGGTCTCAGTTCAAACTATGATATATTCAGGAGGATTTTTTCAAATATCTGGAGACATTTGACTATCAGTTTATATTTTAAGATGCAAATGCAAAAACACAGTATAAACAAACAAAATATTAACTAGAATCTTTGTGCCTGAAGACCACTTATTTACTAGTTGCTTTCATTGTCCAGGGCATTCTATTGGGGGATCCATCACTATCAGTGTCTTTCAACTTTACATGTGGGCTATTCAGAATCCTCAGACAAGAATCTTGAAGAATAAAAGAGTCAAGTGCTAAAGAGAAGTTACGTATATTAAAGAGAAGTTTTTATATGTATGCATATCTATCTATCTATATACATATTTAGAGAGAAAGAAAGACTTTCTCTTATATCCCCTACTTTTTCAACCTCTGTTCTTCCAGATATTTCTAGAAGTTCATCTTTTCCAGAGAATAAGCCTCAGGACTTCTATCAGGGTAGAAGCAGCAATCCAGGGCTACAGTTCTTTCTTTCTTTTTTTTTTTAATTGCGTTTTAGTGGTACATGTGAAGAACATGCAAGATTGTTACATGGGCACACACATGGCAGTGTGGTTTGCTGCCTTTCTCCCCATGTTATCCCTCCCCAGCTCCCCACTCCCTGTTGTCCCCCTCCTATTTCCCTACCACAGACACCAGTGTGTGATGCTCCCTCCCTGTGTCCATGTGTTCTCACTGTTCAGCACGTGCCTATGAGTGAGAACGTGCGGTGTTTGATTTTCTGTTTTTATGTCAGTCTGTCGAGAATGATGGTTTCCAGGTTCATCCATGTCCTTACAAAGGACACAAACTCATTGTTTTTTATGGCTGCATAGTATTCCACGGTGTATATGTGCCACATTTTCCCTATCCAGTCTATCATCGATGGGCATTTGGGTTGGTTCCAAGTCTTTGCTACTGTAAACAGTGCTGCAATGAACATTTGTGTGCATGTGTCCTTATAATGTGGTTCCTTCTAAACACACTTCCCAAAAGTTTCCTGTTTGTAGTTTCACATTTACTGTCTATTCTTTGAGGTATCTGGTACACAATTTCTGAGCCTTTCTGTGGTTTGGTGGGGGCAAATGAATTTTCTTCAAGGTTTCACCATAAGCTTCAGCTTCAGCTTCTTGGGTCTGCAGTGTCTGCCACCACACTCATTCATCATCTCGTTTTTAAAATTTTGTAGCTGTCATCTCTAGTTCCATTCTTTTTGTCCTAAGAGACTATGTATCTATTCAATCTGCCAATTTCTAGACCTGTTATTATTTAATAGACCTGATTAGGTAGCCCCAAGAATCTCAGAGAAAAGCTCTCTGAGTCTGGACAGAGTAGCCACACATATATTAGCACTTTCATTTATCAAAACTGTTCTAATCATAGTAAAAAAAAAAAATTCTATTCTCCAGTCTAAAAGGGATCAGAATTAGGCACTGAATAGTTTTTTAAAATGTAAGAAAAATTGACTATGCAATAGTAGTTGCTTACAATACTACCTATGCACAAGAAATTAATAACAGAACTTTTTCGATTTGTCTAAGTCAAATCACCAATCATATTCAAATTAATAATAAAAGCCTATTTAGGCTACCATTGATACCATTCAGTTTTTCCTAGAAATCAGTTAAGTTTAACATTTCTTTTTAATTATCTTTCTTTTCTTTCTTTTTTTTTTAAGACTTAGTCTCACTTTGTTGCCAAGGCTGGAGTACAGTGGTACAGTCAGTTCTCTGTAACACTAAACTTCTGGGATGAATGATTCTCCTGCCTCAGCCTCCTGAGTGCTGTTACTACAGGTTCATGCCACCATACCTGGCTATTTTTTTTTTAATTTTTTGTGGATGTGGGGTCTCACTATGTTGCCCAGGCTGGTCTCAAACACTTGGCCCCAAGCGATCCTCCCACCTTGGCCTCCAAAATGCTGTGAGATGTGAGCCACTGTGCCAGGCCCTTCTTTTGAATTCTCAGACAGTTTTATTTTTCTTTGTTACTGCTGTAGTTTACTTAAAAAACAAAGTTTAGCTACTTGATTCTATTTTGCAACTTAGTCCAAACCTGCAATGCCTTCAAGATTTCCTTCAAGGTTATTGTCACATGATTCAATAACCCTAACCAAAATCAGGAAAGCCAGTTACAGGTGCCTAAAATGCAGGTATAGCTGGATTATGCTTAGGATTTAATAACCTTCACTAAATATAAAGAACTGTTTTCAAGCAGATTAACACATTTTTTTTAAATCCAAAAAGTAAGTAGAAACTATTTAAACTAACTAATTTCTTCATTTTAGATGTCAGAAATTTGAGGATTAGAGAAGCTAACAAAGATCTTGCCCAAAAAGCCAAGTATCATACACTGAGCAGCAAGGCTGGATCAAGGTGTTCGGATACTCCCGTGCCCTTTGTACTACCAAACTTTAAGAAAATATTGTCAAATGGGACAAATGCCAAATGAGCAGGATAACTCGTCATGTAAAAGTTAAAATAATTAACTTTCCATGAAATTTCTAGCCTTCTGAGATCCTTACATCTTCTTGCAAGCATGCTTTCTCAGATGTTTGGTCACTCCACATGATAGAAATTTGCCCAACACTGTTGCTTTGCAAATTTGTTGCATCCACTTTATCCTTAAAAAGAATTGGATCATACCTGTTGTTCCAGAGGTAAAAATGTAAAGACAAGTAGACTTGAGGCATGAGACAACATGGCGGCTGCGTGGCACGGGCTCATCAGATGAGGTGCCCAGTTTTTCTTTGAGTGAAATTACACCTTGTGGAACAGAATCTTTCATCCCCCAAACACTGATATCTTCTGGGAGGCTTGGAAGGATTTCTTCTACAGTTCCAAGTAAATCTAAAAGCCAAAGGGTTGGGAATAGGTAAGCAAACTTTAAATCTCAAACCATTCACTTTGGATTTGCTTTTGTGTATTGAAACAGGGATCAAATGTAAATAAAAAGCTGATTTACTTCTCATGTTGGATAAGTAATATCACTGTCATTTTATGGTTCTATTTCCACAGGACCAACTGAAAGGAAAATTTAATTATCACCTGACAGACCAATGCAAGCAGTCCAATTCAGGCTGAATTTGAGAGACTCTATTCTGCAATTTATGGGTTTCAACCCATCAATTTTTAAATACAACTATTTAAAACTCTAAACATTTTCCTTGAATGTTCAGTAGCTAGTTATTCCAAAACGCTGCCTGTAGGCTACCGTTTAGCTCCATTGTATTGTAAAACATTTGGGAGTATCCCCTGACTGCTCTGAAATCACAAGATCATTGTGGTTTAGAAATCATTCTAAAGCCAAACTTAAGTGAGTGTGGACTCCAAAAATGAAGGATGGTGGGCGAGAGAGGTGAAGACTGAGAAATTACCTACTGGGTACAATGTTTACAATTCACAGTTCAGGTGATAGGTATATTAGAAGCCCAAACCTCACCATTAAGAAATATATCCATGTAACAATCCTGCGCATGTACTCCCTGAATCCATAAAAATAAAAAATGAAATTAAAATGAAAAGCAATTAATACGTACTAGGTACAGGCCAAATAAATTTTAAGTGAGGGGACTCAGAGAATTTCTCTGGATCACATTAATTAAAGACAAAAGCCTTTGAAAGCAAAAGGGGCAAAATAATGCCTTCCAGAAAAGGCAGTGAGACCCATGGTGCAAGGGAGGGTGTGACTGGCAGGTAAGAGTAGACTCTCCATCGGCAGCAGTAGGATGCAAGGCCTGGGTAAAAGCAAAGTCCAGCAGATAAGAAGGATGAATAGAAAAGCCTGAAGAATCGGTGTCTTCAGGACTGAAGGACTTACGAACCCTGGCAAGATCAAGGGCCTGGGTCACAATTTAAGGTTCAGAAAGAAAAAGGGACACGTTTCTTAGGAAGGATCTGATACAAGGATAACAAAGGAACAACTGTTGAGTTAAGACTACATTGAATTAATCTGTGAAACTGAATCAGACCTTCTTGATTTGCACATTAACCCACGAAAAAAAAAATGTCATCTGTTCCAGAGGGGAGCAGTGGTGGAAAACAAGAGAGAAAGAAGGTGGGAAAGGGTCCTTGATGAGAAAATAATTAAGCATTGAGGTACTCGACACTCTGTGTGTTACAAAAGAAACAAAATGTCATCATTCATATACAGTCTTTAGTGTAAGCAAGTGAAGAATCATTTTTTTTCTCCAGAGTAGAGAGGTATACAATTATTTATATTATTTAAATTCTTCTTGAATTCACCACTCTCTTACTTTAGCATGGATCTCTGACATAAAGTTCAACTTTTATATTCTACATGGCAATTCTGATTTCATTTCCTTATGTATATAATATGCTATACATTTAGAAGGTCCAAGGGATTTCTAAATGCTATATAGCTTATCTTAAAATCTATATTAAAATTCATGGGGATACTAAACAATAGTACCCCACTAGCCTTTTGGAGTTAATACAAGGAAAGCCAAATATTACTGGAAACTACCAGAATCTAAGAGGCAAGAAAAAATTCCTGGATCCTTCTAAGGGAGCATAGCCCTGCTGACACCTTTATTTTGGGTCTCTAGCCCTGAGAACTGTGAGAGAATAAATTTCTTTTGTTTTAAGCCACCAAGTTTATGGTACTTCAGTATAGCAGCCTTAGAAAACTCATACATCAAGCTCACAATTTGGTGGATGGTAGAATGAGTCATCTAAACTATACATTAATTAACTCTAAAACTACAAAATTACCTCATAAAAGAAATGAATGGCAAGAAGGAAGAAATAATGGTGTCAAACGTAAAATAAATCCAGATCGGCCAGGCCTGGTGACTCACGCCTGTAATCCCAGCACTTTAGGAGGCCACAGCAGGTGCATCACCTGTGGTCAGGAGTTTGAGACCAGTCTGACCACCATAGTGAAACCTCATCTCTACTAAGAATACAAAAAAAATTAGCCAGGCTTGGTGGTGGGTGCCTGTAATCCCATTTACTCAGAAGGATGAAGTGGGAAAATCACTTGAACCAGGGAGGCAGAGGTTGCAGTGAGCCGAGATCGCACCACTGCACTCCAGCCTGGACAAGAGCAACACTCTGTCTCAAAAAAAAAAAAAAAAAAAATTCCAGATCAGAATGCTCAGGTACTGTACATAAAAATAAATATGGACTTTTACACCTAAAGCAATTATATTTCTTTCTAATTTTTTAAAGAAAACTTTAAAAATAATCACATGATATATTCTGCTTTGAATCTGAATTCAGAGTTTTGCATTAAACATTTTCCTGGAAACATAAATCAGTATCTGGTTCCCTCAAAAAGCCAACTGTCAGTCATTAGGTTAGTTATGTAACGCTACACATTAGGGGAAAAACTCTTACTTTCATGAAATCTGTAACCCAGATTGATCACAAAACAGCAGAAAGAGAAATATGTCAAGTGGGACTGAGAAGTTTATGAATAAAAACTGTATGAAAGTAGAAGGCAGTACAGAAATTCTGGGTTTATTCCCTAGAGTATAGAATTTTCAGCTAGAAAACCTGGATTCAAACACCACTTCTGACACTTGCTAGTTGTGTGACCTTGGACAAGTCGCTTTATTTCTCTGAGCCTCCCTTTTGAAAAGTGACTCCATACAACTTATACAGTTCTTGGGATAATTAAATGGTCTATGTAAACCATTCATTATGGTGTCTGACCCAGAATCAGTCCTTCCTAAAATGGTGACTGCAGTGGTGGTGGTTGTTATTACTACTACTGTTGGTTGTGATGATGATCAAGATGATGATGATGACATTTAATGAGCTCAACTTCATTAAGTAGAGAGCTGAAGGATGAAAAGAGGAGATCATAGATGCTGGAAGGGAGCTGAACAGATTGGGAATCCAGGTGCTTCTACTGATTCTGTCCTGTTTTGTTTCCATCAAACCATGCTCTTCCTCTTCCTGCCCAAAAGTATATAACTAGGCAGGGTGAGTTGGAACTTCATTCCTCACTTAGCATAGCAGAGTTCTCGAGGAGTGAAATACAAAATTGATGAATAACAGAACCACAAGTCTTTCTATTTCAATAACACATTTTTCCCTGCATGATTTAACTGCCCTGATTATAGGTACACAAGTTTCTAAGTGGGTTTATGTGTTTTCACTCTCAGTTGTTCCCACATTTTTGAAGGGAACAGATAGAATATTATAATATAATAATACATTGTATTATTATTATAAGCAAAATTACCCAAAAAAGAAAAAGTCAAACACCTCATTTGATGTTATTTCTAACACATTTCCTGTTGCCAATGAATAGTTATTACTGAAATGGCACAAAAAGTCATGTTGCATCTGGCTTGCTATTTTTTAGTAAGAAAGTGGTGAAATTAGAAGAGTAAATGCAGATCAAAGCAACCTACAGACAGACTCATTAGTAAGTAAATTATATATATATTTTTTTAAGGCAGTGAATACTAAGGTAGTATTTCTGCAAGACTCAGATCCCATGAGGGCTACTTTCCTCATGCCCTCTTAATTATTAACAGTAGAAGAACCCTCCTCTTTTTGGCCACAGAAGAGCTAACCACGTTACTCCAGACTTGGGTCTGAGAGCATTCCAACCTTGGCCACTGAGGGTTGGGAAGTAGTTATGGTTGTATTGCTACTGGAGAGGACAAGAAAGCTGTTTAAGCCCAACTCACTAGGGTTGTGTAACACACTTATGTGGGTTTCACTCCATTCAACAAATCTCAAATGAAGAGGCCTGGACAAAAGTGACATTTTACTATGGGTATCTGTCTCTGTCATTATGCAATTAAAAATGATGATTGTATCCATTTATTGAATATATTTTATGGTCCTGGTATTCTGTTGGCTCCTTTACATTTAATTCACACAAGACCCAATGATAATCATTGATCAAATCTAAGTGATATAGACTACTACACTCTTAGGCTGTATGATATAGCCTATTACTCCTAGGTTACAAACCAGTACACCATGTTACTGTACTGAAAATTGCAGGCAATTCTAACATAGTAATATGTATTTGTGTATTTAGCTATATCTAAACATAGAAAAGGTAAAATAAACATAGAGCATTACAATCCTATGGGACAATCACCATGTATGCATTCCATCATTGGCTGAAATGTCTTTATAATGATTTTGCCTTCTATTTTTAAGTTATACCTCCTGGAACTATGTATTCAGGCATTTCCATCTAGCATCAAATCATAATGTAGTTTGTTTGAAACAGGACCTTAAACATATTGTTTTGGTACATTTTAGAAAAATTCTATTTTTCATAAGTTATATCGAACCAATTCCAAACAGGTTTCATAGGTCATGCCAGATAATGTGCACTGTGATAGGTGAATTTTCATCAGGGCTGGTATCTGATAACTGTCTTTAGGAATAAGTAAAAGGAAAAGGTTTCAGCTAAGCTGCGAGGCAAATATTGTTATTGTTACTAACAAAAATAATAGTTGCCATGTATTCAAGGGGAGACAGGCAAAGTGCTGTATTTTAGAAACTGAAATGGTAAAAAATTAAGTTGTTTAAGGTAACACAGCTTAGTAGGTTGCAGAGCAAAGCCTTAAAACGTGTTCTCTGATTTAAGACTGCTAGACTATATAGTCCAATTGTTTCTGAGACTGTCAATTACACTTTGATATAACAAAAAATACACATTCAGGCTACATAAAATATGAAAATAAAAACTGCCAGTATTAAGACATCAAGTTTTTTTATACACAGATAATTTTAAAAAGTCAAAATTTTTACAATACTATTATTTCCTTCCCACATAGTCTGAAGACTCAAAAATACTTACAGATGTCTCATATCTGTGTATTTTGGATTAAAACAAATATCAAATGGCA